TGAGTTTTGATAAGTGCACAGGGCCATTTAACCTCACCTCTAGTCGCCTGTGAACCGCTCCGTGCTCTTAAACATCTTCTGCCATAGAAAATGGGGAACCCCAGGATAGAGTTGAAAAGGTCAAATCCGACAGGATACTTAAATGACTTGGTTGTCCAGCACATGATACATGATGAGTAAACAACATACTTGGACAGGTTCTTCCACAGAGCAGAACTCCGAGCATCCTCACCTTCATCCATTGGCTTGGCACCTGAGACTGAGATAGCCCATCTGCCTCAATTCCAACAGTCATCATTTAAATTAAGTAGACCCTCCGCAAGCTGGGTGACCCCACAGATAACATTCAGGTGCCCTTGCAATAGTCACTGCATTTTCAGTTAAGTCATTTTCAGTTAAGTCATTTTCCTTGATCTGCTGTGCTGTCGTATTTGTTGGTTTTCTGAGCAGAAGCGTTGGAGGATCCTGGGGTGGAAAGTGTCTGCTGCTGGGCCAGGTCAAAGCCTGGAGCCAGAATGTCAATCCGGAGGGCCTGCCTGGGTCCAGGCACCCAAACGCTGGAGGCGCCACCTGCGGACTCCCAGGATGTGGGTGAGCAGGAAGGGGCCCCAAGAAGCAGCTGCTTCACCTACTGTGTCACAACACACTCTCTGCCCCCTACAGAGAAACTTGCCTCCTGCTTCTAAGCCCTTCCTTCTTATTTTTAAAGAAAGATTTATCCACTTGAAAGGCAGAGTAAGAGGAGGGGGTGATCTTGTATCTGTTGATTTATTCTCCAAATAGGCTGGAGGCTGGACCAGGCTGAAGCCAGGAGCCAGGATCTTGGACCCAGTCACCTGCATGGGGCCCAAGTACTTGGCATCTTCTACTGCTTTCCCCAGGGCTGAGCAGGGAACTGGATCAGAAGTGGAGGAGCCAGGACCTGAGCCAGCTCCCACCTGGGGTGCTGGTGTTGCAGCTGCTTTCAAATCAGAGCATATAAAAGCCGAGTTTAGAGACATGTAATACATTTGACCTGATGCACAGACATGGCCACCCTCCCACTCCCCTCCTGTCCTCAGACCTTGGAGGCCACTCATTGGTTTTCCATCTCTGTGCATGTATCCGTTCGGTATCCATACACTATCCGTGTGTACATGTGTCTGGCTGCCTCCTTTTCAAACTTGGCCTGAAGCGTAGCTGGTGTCCCTGCTGCGTCCCTTGACTTGGCTGAGTACCGTGTCACTGCCCAGGTGGGTGCCTTATCCTGTCTCGGTGGAGTTGATTCTTTGATATGCTGCAGTGAACAGGTTGGGGAATGTTTGGTTTTAGTGATGGCTGGTACATACTTTGTAGTTGGGTCACTTTTACGGTAATTCTAGGTTTCATTTATGTTGAAATCCCTTCCTTGCTGTTGATCGCCTCTGCCGCCTTGCTTTTCATTGCATTTGAAGGGGCAGAGATGGATTCTACTGTTAGATTCGACGAGGCACACTTGAGCCAGAGAGGCCATTAGTCTAGGCAAAGGAGCTTTATCGGTGAGAGGCTGACGGGCCATTTTCTCCCGGGAGGTGACCGGACCACCTCCACGGGGCAGGGGTGCGACCAGACCTCGTGAGGAAAATGGCCCTCTAGGATATATAGCCTGGGCTTTGGACGGGGATCGGGGACAGAGACAAGGCTGTAGCTCCTTGCTCTGCGCATGCGTGTGGCTAGTACCGCGGGGACACTCGTCATGGCGGATCTCGACCTTGCCACAAGGTCAGGCTATTCTGCACATTTCTGGGTGGGACCAATGGGTTTTAAATAAGGCGGCAAGGTTGGCAGGGGTCATCATGGAGTTCCTTGTGCTCCAGAGCCTTCGTGGCCCCATCCACTCATTTAATCCTCAACAACGCCCAATTGAAGGTGTCATGCATGCCTCTTCGTAGGTGAGAAAATCCAAACCAAGAGGGAAGACGCTAGGGATACCCACGTCCCATAGCCAAGCGGCTGGTTCGAGTCCTGCCTCCACTTCTGTCTCGAGCTTTTTGCTAGCGTGCATGTGGGAAGGAAGTGGTCGATTTCCGGCCCCGCCCCGCCCACCCTCCAGGTTGAGGTCTTGGCCCAGCCAGCATTTGGAGAGTGACCCTGGAGCTGCGTTAGGCTGAGCAGAAGGGACCACCCTGCAGAAATCACCGCCTTATCTCAAGCAACCCTTCCCATGCAGCAATGACCCTGACCTTGTTTTGGTATGCAGAGGTCCACACACCTTGTGATGAATAGCCTGTGCCCCGCGTCACGCATGCGCAGAGCAAGGAGCTGCGGGCTCGTCACCTTGTCTCACAACCCTCCACCCGTAAGAGGTCTCAAACCCCAGGGCTGTGTGTCCGAGGTGGCCATTTGGCTCACCTGGTCACTCCCTGAGTGGAAGCAGCCCCAGGCTGCTTCCCGCCGACCTAGACCAAGATGCTCAGGCGTGTCCAGGTGCCTGCAAACTTGAGTGGACTGTGCCTGGTGTGCACCGAGACCTGCAGGAACCTCAGCTGTGATCACTGGTCTTGGCTGGCTTGGGGAATGAAGTCAGATGCTCACACAAAGGCCTGCCGGCCAGCTCAGAACACTCTTTATCTGGTTTACAGTGTGTGCTGAGCAAAGTCTGGGAGGAGCACCTGCAATGCCTTGACTCCACCCGTGTCTGCTCATCTCGGCCCGAATCAAAATACGGTGGGGGTGTATGTGGAGTTTTTTGTTTTCTTTTAAACATTTATTTTTATTGGAAAGTCAGATATACAGAGAGGAAGATCTGCCCGCCAATTCACAGCCCAAGTGATCCGAAGCCATGAGCCAGGAGTTTTTCCAGGTCTCCCACGTGGGTGCAGGGTCCGAGGCTTTTGGGCCATCCTTGACTGCTTTCCCAGGCCACAGGCAGGGAGCTGGGCGAGAAGTGGAGCAGCTGGGACTTGAACCGGCGCCCCTATGGCATCCAGGCAGATGCAAGGCGAGAATGTAGACACTAGGCTATCATACTAGATCCTCTTTGTTTTTAAATAGCTACTGCAGTTGCTTTTTTTCTTTTTTTGAAAAAGAGTGACAGAGGGAAAGGAGTTGGATCATCTTTACTCCACGTATTCACTTCCCAAATGTCCACAAAAATCATGGTTGAAGCCGGGAACCAGGAACTCTGTCCAGGCCTCACATATTGTAGGTGCAGTCACTGGGGGAGTCACATTGGATGGAGGATCTTCCTCGGTCTCTGTATATCTGACTTTCCAGTAAATAGAAGTAATCTTGGAGATTTGGTACAAATGGGCATTTTTCAAAGGTATAAGGATTCAGACTTCTGGGCTCAGACATGGGCTCCTCCTGTGCTACTGGCTGTGTGAACTTGACCTAGTTAGTGAGCTGCATGACCCTGGGTCAGTTACCTCTCTTATAAAATGAGGATAATGGGCACCTACAGGCCTTGTAGGGCTGTTCTCAGAATAGAGTTAGTAATAAGTCCATGACTCGATGCATTTATTTAACTGAAAGCTTGAATTATTATTTTTTTAAATTCACGTACTTGGAATTATTCCTTGCTCCCCAAGTGGTCATCAATGCTGAGTCAGTGCTTTGAATGCCGAGCTGCCCTTGGGCTGCCAATGTGTCCCGTGTTCCTCTTTAAACAAACATCATTCAGATTTTTGAAGAAAAGGACATTGACTCTCCATGTGGCCAGAACCACCAGGACTGAGCTGATCCCAATCCAGGAGCCAGTAGCTTCTTCTGGATCTCCCACGTGGGTTCAGGGACTCAAGGCTTTGGGCCGTCCTCGACTGCTTTCCCAGGCCTGGTTTCAGTTGGCGCAGGTTTGGCTGTTGTGGCCTTTTGGGGAGCCACCAAATGAGAAATCTCTCTCTGTGCCTCTGTGTGTGCCTCTCCCTCTCTGTCACTTTCCCTATGAAATAAATTGAAAAAAAAAAAAGGGGGGGGGGAAGCCACCACCAGCTGCCTGCCTTCCTCTTGCCTCCCATTATTGCATCTTTGTTTAAAAGTGAATGAGGGGCTGGTGATGCCTCAACTGGCAAATTCTGCAAGTGCCAGCGTCCCATATGGGCTCTGGTTTGAATCCCAGCTGCTCCACTTCCCATCTGGCTCCCCGTTTGTGGCCTGGGAAAGCAGTGAGGGATGACTCAAGGTCAAAGGAGCCAGTACTCCTGTGGGAGACTCGCAGGAAGCTGCTGGCTGCGGATTGGCTTAGCTCTGGCAGTTGCATTCATTTGGGGTAGGAAGCAGTGAATGGAGGGTCCTTCTCTCTGTAAAAAATATGCCTTTCCAATAAAAATAAAATATTTGAAAAAAAAGTTTAAATCTAAACACACACAGAAAAATTTTAAATCCACATGGCCAGCCTTTCAAAACACACTCTGCAGATAGAGGTTTAACCTTCCTTGTCCTTGCCACCAAGACCCAGCTCCTCCTTTAATTCTTTTTTTTTTTAAGATTTATTTATTTTTATTACAAAGTCAGATATACAGAGAGGAGGAGACACAAAAATATCTTCTGTCTGATGATTCATTCCCCAAGTGACCACAACGGCTGGTGCTGTGCCAATCTGAAGCCAGGAACCAGGAACTTCCTCCACTCTCCCACATGGATGCAGGGTCCCAAGGCTTTGGGCTGTCCTTGACTGCTTTCCCAGTCCATAAGTAGGGAGCTGGATGGGAAGTAGAGCTGCCGGGATTAGAACTGGTGCCCTATGGGATCCCAGTGCATTCAAGGCGAGGACTTTAGCCACTAGGCCACAGCGCCAGGCCCTCCTCTTTTATTCTTACAATAATTGTCCTGTTACCTCTTATGGATTTTTTTTTTTTAAGATTTTTATTTTTAATGGAAAGGCAGATATACAAAGAGGAGGAAAGACAGGGAGGAAGATTTTCCGTGTGATGTTTCACTCCCCAAGTGACTGCAACAGCTAGAGCTGAGCCAATCCAAACCCAGGAGCTAGGAATTCTTCTGGGTCTCCCATGCGGGCGCAGGGTCCCAAAGCTTCAGGCTGTCCTCGACTGCTTTCCCAGGCCACAGGCAGGGAGCTGGAAGGGAAGCGGGGCCACTGGGATTAGAACCCTCAACCAGATCGGATCCCGGCGCGTGCAAGGTGAGGACTTTAAACACTATGCTATCTCACCGGGCCCCTCTTATGGAATTTGAAAGGTGAAGTTTTATAGTTCCTTCTGGTAACTGTCTTCCTCACTTCCGTGATGTCAGCCTTGTAAGAACACCCCAAGTTCAAATGTGCGGGAGCCTGTGTGTTTTGCAGGTCATGCTGTTCTGAATCCCAGAGGCCCTAGCCCTCCAAACTCCTTGACCTTGGCTGCATGACCTTGAGTGAATCCCAAGCCCAAACCTGCGCCAACCTTGTGGGGCAGTATTAGGTCATCTTTCCAGGGATGGATTTTTAAAGGAAATTTATTTACCTGGAGATGCAGGAGAGGGCCTGGAAATCCCATTTCCTCTCTGTCACTTGGCACTGAATTATTTCAGACGCTGACCAACAGAGCTTCCAGGTAGATATATATTTTAGTTCTCAAGAAGAAAACTTAACCCACTGTTTCTGCCAAGTCATGGCATGGGCCCAGGAACAGCAAAATATGTTTTGCTCCGCAAGTAATGATAGGACGGCCCCTCCCTGTGTGACTGGCTCTGCCCGTGACAGTGAGCCTCCCTGGTCTCTGGGGCTTTGCATCTGTTCTTCAGACCCCGTGTCGGGACCAGGGCAGTGGCTGGAGTGAGTAGGCCAGGGCCTCAGTCACCTTCCGCGGGTCCTGAAGGCGTCTGGGCCTCAGTCTTCCTGGGGAGCAGGCATTATTCAGCATTTCCACTCCTCATGCTCCTTCCGTGTGCCCAGGACTTCATGTCTAACACGGACACAATCCCACCAGGACAGCAAAGGACCAAAAAATCCCATGGAATCCTGAAGCTTAGGCCTTCTCAAGGCAACTCGGGTGTGAAGGTGTTGCTGTGGTGGCCTGGAAAATGAACCCTCCACCTACCGTCAGCTCCCAGGGAGAGATTGTATGGGCCAGGCGGGAAAAAGCAAGGGTGATAAACTGCCTTAATAGCTGTGGCGAAGAAGTTACCCAGGCAAGCCAGCACTGGTGCTGCCACCCACCTTTCCGTGGTAAACAGCTCATAGCTCCCAGAGTTGAGCTAAGCTACAGCGGTTCCTTCTGCAACTCTTCACTGAGCACCTGCTGTGTTCAGGATGCAATGCCTAAAGGCCCTGTCTCTCCAGGCATTCTGAGATGGGGAGTGGGCTCCTGCGTGCAATGCTGAGGCTGTGTGCTCCGCTGTTACTGAAGTAGCAGCGCCCAAGTGCGATCTGTGAGTTCTGTGTATCTGCTGCCCCAGGGCGTAGGGGTGGGTAGGGAAGGAAGACTCAAGTTAGTTCCCTTCTAAAGGGCTCACATAGCCAAATGCAAGGGCTGGGGAAAAGTGGCAGCCTTAATGATTCAGGTTGGTGGCCGGATTCAGTGCTGAGGTCCCCGTTTTACTTGGTGGCTGTTGGTGGCCCAGGTCTGCTCTTAGCTGTAGTGGCTCTGCTCCTTCTGGGTAAGCTATTCTAGAAGGAAGAAGGTTGATCTCAGTTTATTTCAGTATGGTTGTGGAGGCTCACAGTTCAGAATTTAGCATCCTATTGCTTGTTTGCTTGCTTTATATTTTTTTAATTACTGTTTTACTTTGATAATCTTTACATAGTTGATCAGGGCACAAAGGGTCAAGGGCTACAGGAAAGTGGGTAAGACCATTGTTTCCACATTTTTTTTTTCTGTATCTGGGGTAAAAGGAAAGATAAAGGGCAAACGGAGATGCTTACTTTATTTGCTAAGATTTATTTACTTATTTGAACAGGAGAGAGAAAATCTTTTACACAATGATTCACTTTGTGGATGGCTGCAGCAGCTCGGGTCCTGCCGAGTCAGGAGCTGGGACTCCACCCTGGTGCATGTGGTTGGGAAGGGGCCAAGCACCTTCCACTGCTTTCCCAGGAGCATTATTGGCAGGGAGCTGGATCTGAGGCAAAGCAGTCTGGACTGACAGCCCTCTGATAGGGAATGCCCACAGGTGCTGGCTTTAAACCACTGCACCGCTTCACCTGCCCTGGTTCTGTTGCGTTCAGCATCTGGTGAGACCCGTGAAGGCCCAGGGACAACCCCATGACAAGGCAGGAAGTGGAGCATCAAGTTAGGCTCTACTTGGCTTGAATAACTAACTCTATTTCCAGACCTGCTTCCCAAGGACACACCCCATTGATGTAAGGACTTCCCTCTCAGCCTACCTCCTAGATGCCATAATTACATCAAGTCTCCGCCCTTCTTTCAACAGCCATCAACACCCATGCATTAAACATTGATGTAAGACTTTGGAAGCCATGTCCCCACTACAGGAGCTTGTGGCAGGTCCAACCTGCTGTACTTGCAGAGAGCTGCCCACAGTATCACTGGTGCAGGTCCCAGGGACTTGACCATTCTCCATCCATTGCTTTCCCAGGAGCTGGACCCGAAGTAGAGCAGCCAGGACAGTAACTGGCATCCTAAATGGGATACCAGAGCTGCAGCAAAGGTTTAACCTATTAGGCCATAGTGCCAGCCCCAAAACAAGCCACTTTTAGAGGGTCAGTATGAGTACATAGACCCTACAGGATAATCTTGCTGCCTTAAATTCAATGGATTAGCAGCGTTAATTACATCTGCAGTATCCCTGTTGCCCGTAACATGACATGATTGCAGGAGTAACACCAGGATGGAAGAAGATCACGGTGGCTTAGGATCCTGCATGCAAATATGCAAATAGATAATGGCAATTATTTTTTTTAAAGATTTATTTTATTTTTATTTTTATTGGAAAGGCAGATATACAGAGAGGAGAGACAGAGAGGAAGATCTTTCATCTGATGATTCACTCCCCAAGTGAGTGCGATGGCCAATGCTATGCTGATCCGAAGCCAGGAGCCTCTTCCGGGTCTCCCACGCGGGTGCAGGGTCCCAAAGCTTTGGGCCGTCCTCGACTGCCTTCCCGGGCCACAGGCAGGGAGCTGGAAGGGAAGTGGAACATCTGGGATAGAACCGGCGCCCATATGGGATCCCGGGCGTGCAAGGCGAGGACCTTAACCACTGCGCCATCGCGCCGAGCCCAATAATGGCAATTGTTGTCAATCGTGGTCAATGCCATGGGCAGGAGTGACTTGCATGGTGGAAGGGAGAGGGCATCTGTGCAAAGTGCAGCTCTGTCCCAGCAGCCACCAGACCCTCAGCGCTCAACATTTCTTCACGTTTGGACCTCCAGCCAGGCACTAACTCCTTGTTGGGCATCTGTAATAATATACAGTCCCTCACCCCATTTCTTAGCAAGCACACTTCCCCCAGACTTCACCTTGTCTGCTACTGGCATCATTAATCCGCCCGATTACCCAAGCCAGGGCGAGTTCTGCGTGGTCCTCCCCGCCTTCCACCTCACTATACTCTCTGTGCAGCCGGTTTGGCCGGCAGTGTCTACACCTGGAGTTCCCTCACACCACCCCAGAACCTGGGCAGCTGCTACTGGTCTTCACCCTGCTCTTTGCAAGCTTACCCTTCTACATTCTAATTTGTGTAGCACAGAATTTTTCCCACGTATAATGTTCTATGAGCAGATTTTTTTTTTTTTAGTGTATTCTGGGTTGTTGAACAGCCATCACCAGAATCTAATCCTAGGGTACTTTCATTACCCCCCAAAAAAATTGGTAGTCACTCCTCAAACTTCTCTAACTCCAGGCCCTGCTCTGTGGGCTGCACTGGACAGCTGATGGCTTTGAAAGCATCCACTATGTGGGAGGTGCTCTTCAAGATTCATTCATGTTGTATGTAGCATGTATCAATGTCCTTTTTATTATGAATTAAAAAAAATTTTTTTTTTGGAAAGTCAGATATACAGAGAGGAAGAGAGACAGAGAGGAAGATATTCCATCCGTTGGTTCACTCTCCAAATGGCCACAACTGCTAGAGCTGAGCCAATCCGAAGCGGGGAGCCAGAAGCCTCTTCTGGGTCTCCCACACAGATACAGGGTCCCAAGGCTTTGGGCCGTCCTTGACTGCTTTCCCGGGCCACAGCCGGGGAGCTGGATGGGAAGCGGGGCTGCTGGGACATGAACCATGGACCTCTTGTGATAGGCTGCTGTCAAAATGAAGTGCTCTTAAAATGTTAAAATCACCTTGGAACTAGCCCCGAGGTGCAGCAGTTCATGCACCACTTGTCCCCAGCTTCTGGTTTCAAACCACCAGTTTAAGTTCTGCTCTGCCTCTGACCCAGCTCCCTGCTAACACACCTCATGGGTCAAGGGCTTTTGGGCTGCTGCTACTCATGTGGAGATCCAGATAGAGTTCTGGCTCCTGCCTTTAGCCTGGCTTTTGTGGGCATGTGGAGAGCAGACTAAGGGATGGAAAACCTCTGTCTTTGTGTCTCTTGTCATTCCGCTTAAAGTCTTTCAGAAAGGCAGATCCTCAGACAGGAGAGACAGAAAGTTGGCATCAGTTGTCTCACTCCCCAAATGACTGCACTGGCTGTAGCTGAGCCAATCCACAGCCAGGAGCCAGGAACCTCTTCCAGGTCCCCCACGTGGGTGCAGGGTCCCAAGGTTTTGGGCCATTCTCTACTGCTTTCCCAGGCCACAGGCAGGGGGCTGACTGAAAAGTAGAGCAGCCAAGACACGACCAGCACCCATATAGGATACTGGTGCTTGAAGGTTGATTAGCCAGTTAAGCCAAAGCGCTGTTCTCTAATGAAGTCTGTGAAAAAAATGAACAAATAAAATTACCTGCAGGCTGTATATAAAGTATGTTTGAAATAGAAGTCAATTTTGTGTTCAGGTTTGAGTGCTATCCCTTAGCTATCTTATGTAAAATGTCCCCTACTGAAAAAGCTCTAGGATCTGAAATACGTGCTAGTGGCACACATTTTGGGCAGGAACTCCACCCCCTGTATGACAGGTTTCACTCTCTTAATTCCCCTGTTGGTTTTGAACCTATGCAGATAATGTCGGCTGGTGTGAACTGATAGGGGAGCCTACCACTTTTTGCCAGAACTAAGCCCTGCTTTCCTCCAGAGGGCCTCGGAGAAGGATTCCTTTGCATCTGAAAACTGTTCATTAGCATTTGTGGGAATTCCTGTGAATAAAAACAGCTCTGCAGACTCTGGGTCGCTGGAGGGGCTGCAGTGTGGGTGGGTGGAGAGGATGGGTGTCCGCTCACTGCTCGATCACACATCCATGCAGTTAGCTTTTATGAGTCAACAGTGAGGCGGGCAGGACGAATGTTTCAGAATCGAAGAGCGGGTCAGGAATCATCAGCCTCCTGGCTTTCCCGCTGGGAAAGCGGAAGCCTTGGTCACACGGAAAACTTAGAAACCTCACCCTGTGTCTCAAGGTTGGGGACGAGTACAAAGAATCATTAGCCGAACTTGGAGCTCCTGGGGTTGACTGCACCGGACTTAAACTTTGCCAGACTGCACCGGTAGATAAAAACTGCATTCTCCCACGCTGGACCCTGGGCGCAGGGGGGGGGCAAATAACCATTACAAGGCGTTCACAGGTGTCTTCACTCCACTGCAGACGCCCTTCTGAATAATCTACCGGCAACGTCAGGCCCTTGCGCAGTCCGGGGCGCAGCAGTCGGGATTCGAACCCTCCCTCGCGTGGGGACGGGATACCGCTCCCACTCCTTGGCCGTCCTCGGGACCTTTTGGGGATACTGGGACGCTTCTGGATCTCGCGCCCCCCGCCCCCCTCTCCCGCACCGCGCGCCGCAGCGCGACGACCGAGCGGCCCGCGTCCCCACCGCGGCTGAGGGCCGGCGCGGGGGCGCGGCGGGGAGGGCCGGAGCCGCGGCGGCGGCGGCGGCGGGCGGGCCGCTCCCTGCTCCGCCTCCCCTGCTCCGCCTCCCGCGGCCGCTCCGCCCGTTCTCCTCACTAGCTCGCTCGCTCCAGTCCCCCCATGCGGATGTGACATTTCACGCCGCCGCCATTTTGAGAGCGAGCTGAGCCGAGGCGCCGGGCGCCGCGTCCGCTGCCGGAGCCCCGACGACGACGCCGAGGAGGCGGAGGCCGCAGCGCCCCGAGCGCGGCCGGCCCGTCGCCCGCCCGCGCCGCCGCCGCTCCCGTCGGCCCCCGGCCCCGCAGGCCCGCCGCAGCCCGCCAGGCCTCCCGGCCGCCGCGCCCGGCCCGAGGCGGGGCTGACTCCGCGGCCCCCGCCCGGCCGCCCTCCGCCCCCGGCCGGCCCGCGGCTCGGCAGCCCCGGCCCCGGCGGCGGGAGGCGGGCCCCTCGGCGGCGGCGGAGGCGGCGGCCGCAGCCCGCGACAAGGCCGCTCGGCCCGGCCCGCCGGCCGCCCGCCCGCCTCGGCGCCGAGATTGGGCGAATCGCGAGCAAGTACGTGCGCGTCTCCCTGCCGCCGCCTCCGCCGCCCGCCGCGGGCCGTCCCGGGGCCGCCGCCTCCGACGACGCGCGGGAGGAGGAGGAGGAGGCCGTCCCGCCGCCGCCGCCGCCGCCGCCGCCCCGGCTCGCCGCCGCCGCCGCCCGCCCGCCGGGCCCGCAGCCCCGGCCTCCGGCCGCAGGCGAGGCCCAGGCCGCGGCCGACATGAACCACCAGCAGCAGCAGCAGCAGAAAGCGGGCGAGCAGCAGCTGAGCGAGCCCGAGGACATGGAAATGGAAGGTGAGGCCCGGGAGCCGCTGGCGGCGGGGCCGGGGGGGGACCCTTTTCATTGTGGCCAGGGGGGAGCCGCGGGAGCCACGCGAGGGGCTCGCCATCTTTAAGCAGGCCCCGGGGCGGCCGCGGGGCCTCGGCCTGGCCGCTCCGGCCTGAGTCGGCCCGGGCTGCACCGTCATGCCGGGCCCGCGAGCGGGGGGCGGCAGGCGGCACCCGAGTTGGGCGCATTGTCCGACCCCGCGGCCTCAGCGCGCCCGGCTTTCCTGCACAAAGCGCCGGGGAGTTGTAAATTAGGGCGCTCGGGCCGCGGAGGGACCGGGGTGTTTGCTCGGCTCGGGCTGGCGGAGAGGCGGGTTCCGGGGGGCCGGCCCCTTTCCCGGGGCCTGCGTGCTTGGGCCTGTTCTGCCCGATGTGCTTGGGCGACTGCACGCCTCGGTGGACTCGGGACCGTCCGCACCTGCTCGGTGCGCTCCCCCGGAGAGCCCCCACACTTCATTCCGTAACCGCGCTCTTAAGCGCCTGGTTTAATCTTGAAGACACCTGCAGGGCCTTCAGGGGGAGGCGGATTTTCTCAGCCTCCGGACAGGCTCGGTGTTCGCACTCCTTGGTGTGTGTCTTGAGTGAGCTGCTGCTCCTGGGTTTGATATTTGGCTGTGTGTGGCGCCGTCAACATCCGGCCAGGTGTGTGCTTTGGAATCTGCACGTGCAAAGGCCGCCACGCTTGGCTCCCAGCGTCAGCCTCAACCCGACTTGAAGCTAACTCCGTTTTCTGCCCCCGTGGCGGGTGCTGTTTCCTGAGCTGGTGTAAGGGGGCTGTGGAGCAGGGGAGGCTGAGGCTTCACGTGGTTCAGGCAGAGCTGGTCGCTGGAAGGCACATTTTATCTTCCATGACACTCTAAGCCTTTTGGGCTAGGTCACAGTAGTCATACAGTTTCTTCCATGGGGGACGACGGGGGGTCATAGTGTTAAGAGGCGAGTGGGGAGGACACCAGAGTGAGGCATTGAGTGTTTGGTTCCGGAATTGCTCTTATGGGAGACCCTGAGTTGCCTGCCTGAGTGGCAGGTGGAGTTGTGGTTGTCCTGTGGGTTGCCACACACGGGTTGGGAATGGCTAACCACCACCTGTGCTCCCGTGTGCATAACTTCCTGTCAGTAATTGGAGGGCCATTGAAAAATGGCTTGGGTGTAGCCATGGGGCGACAGATGCCTGCAGAAGCCGCTTCCCAATTATCAGTGGTGGCAACGAGAGGCCGGAAGAGGAGTTCTTGCCAGGGACCTGGCTATCTGTGCCCCTGGCCCCGGGAAGGCTGGTGGTTCCCCTAGTGCCTGACCGGCGGGGTTAAGAGCTCCTTTGCATCGCTTGTATGCCATGCTCTGCTGCAGCAGGTCTGAAACCTAGGGGAAAGCTTTGCTTCTGTCCAGCATGTGAGCGAAGCTTTTGACCGCTTTGCAAGCATGGAACCAAGTGAGTTCATCCACACGGGCGTCCCCGCCGAGCCCGTCTGTGATGTGCAGAAGTGGTCTTTGGGGGCACATCCTGTCTGCAAGTTGCAGGAGCTTTGCTAAAAGCCTGGAGTGGTTGAGGGACAATGCAAGAAATGCACCTAGACTCCCTGCAGGAGCCCCTCCTCAGAGTCTCCAAAGGAAAGCACCCCTAGGATTGTGCCTGTGAGATGGGCCACAGTCTCAGGCTTTAGTTATTAACGAATACTGACAACCTGAACGTAGGAGCCAGTTTTGTTCTTGGTGCGTCATTATGGCAAAGGTGTCTGAAGGGCGCATGCTGGTGTCGGAGTGGGATCCCCAGGACTCACAGGTGCCTGTGCCTCAGGCAGGCTTTCAGCCTTCTCTGGATCTCGGGACCAGAAAAGGGGAGAGCAGACAGACTTCAGTGAACCAGAAGGCTGGAGTTGAGCGAGTATCCACTTTCCGGCCTTCAGATGGCCAGCCTGTGAATGGGATCGGCTGCACCTGTTCAGCGTATTGGCCTTCACTCCTGCAGCGGCAGCTGGGAACTGTCAGGCCTTGTGAGGAGCATCCTCCCCGCCCAGCTGGGCAGGGTGGCTGTGGAGGAGGCTGGGAGACTGGTTGGGTCGGTTGGTCTCCTCTATCAATAGGTCAGTGTTGGTTTGCTCTCCTGCCTCGCTTGGTTCAGGTTTCGTTTATTGTTGGTTGAACTGCTACTGTGTTTGAGAATAGTAGTTCTCCAGTTTGTTGTTGGTTTTAAAGTCCTGAGTGGGTAGGAAATGAAGTGTGGTAAGGGGAAAGATGGGAGCAGCCCTGGGGCCCCATACTTCCTGTAAGGCCTGCAGCAGGTGGCAGACAGTGTGGGGGTCGGAAGGGAGTGCATCTGGCCTCAATGGTTGGCTTGGCAGCTCCTTTATTCCTTGTCCAGCGGCTGAAGGAGCAACTTGCCCGTCCTTGTCGTCCGAGTCATCAGACGTGCGGTCCAGTGTGTGCTCTGAAGCAACCAGGGGTATTCCTCGGCCTTGCCGCGGCTGCATGGGCTGTTGGCACAGAGAACCCTGCCCTGGGGAGCGTAATCTCTGGAGCTCAGGGCCAGCTGCTTGCCATGGGGCCCCCCCCTCTGGCTGCTGCTGTCAGGAGCAGATGAGCAAGGCTCTTAGGATTACAGTCTGCGATTCTGATTGGGGTATGGGGGGCTGCTGCCAGCCTAATGTGGGTGCGTGGAGTTTTGCCTTCGTTTTTCTGTGGGAGCATGTTTGGGAGTGGAAACTGAGTTCTATTCTACACACCCACCCGGAAATCAAACTGGGGCTATTTTAATCTAAAACATGCAGTTCTTTTCATGTAACACTGGAGCAGGACAAAATCAAACAGTAGGAGGATATTGATTATTTTTTCCCTTACATTGGCTTCAGTTGATAAAATAATTCTTTGCGAAACTACAAAGTGAACATGAACTCCGGAGGACTCGGTTCACACTGGGCACGGTTCCCTGTGCTGTGGCGCGTGTCCGACCTGGGGTGCTCCCAGGCATCCCTGTGGCCTGTGCTGGAATGATTTTAGGCTGCTGCTTGTCTTGTGTTTTTCTCCAAAATCAAATCAATGATTGTTACCAGCAAGTGTAAGGGAGACCATGTACTTGCCCTTGGTTTGGAGGGGACATGAGTTTGTGCCGAGGCATGACATTGGCTGAGAGAACAGGTTTTAGTCCTGCCTGAGTTTGAACCTGTGTGACGTCAGACGTGTTGCTGAAGTTGGGTGACTCGGCTTCTCCAGGTCAGTCACACCTGCCGCGGTCAGCCACGTTTGGGAAGGGCCAGGCCCAGGCTGGAGCGTGGGTGTGCAGTGCTTGGTGCTGGTGCAGGTGTACACTGGGGGTAAGGTTGAAAGGGGCAGGTGCATTACCGTGGCATGCCCTGCTGTGAATTCAGGAGCTGGCCCTTCCTGGTGAGCAGTGCTGTTGGCGGCTTCAGAGTTTGCTGTGCCCGAGTTGCTGTTTAACGTGAAAGGTATAACATTCCCAGACATATCCAGCGGGCAGTAGGCGTTGGACGCTATGGAGCTACCGGAGAGCTCTCTTGTAATTCCTGTACCCGTGTTAAATTTTACAGGGAGGGATTTTGTGAGGTTGGACATTGAGCTGCAGCAGAGCTCAGTGTCACTTTGGAAGTCACCTGGAGCTCCCCTCGGGATCCTGGCTGCCTGGTGCTGAGGCCTCCTGCTGGTCTGTGCACTCACCTGGCCTGGGCCCCTCTGCATTGCTGTCTTGCTCTGCCTGGGCCCTACCGCCCTCAGGGATCACACACCTGCATTTTGGGGGGGGTGGGAAGGGGTCTATTCTGGACGTGCCCAGAATACCCAGGAAAGCAGTAGCTTGAAACCCTTTTGCAGGTGCCACCTTTTGCCATGCTGCATGTAGTGGGTCCCTTTGTGGGGTCTGTTTTCTTTGCTCTTGGGCTCTTTGCTCCAATGATGACCCATATGGGTTTCTTTTTGCTATGTTCCTTTTTTTTATTTGTGGGAGATGCTCATTCAGGAAATACTGTTTGAGTGCCCACAGAGGCCGAACAGTGGGTCGAGGAGCAAGGCGGGTGGCTGGGTAGAGCTGGGAAAGGACGCCAAAGCCATAAACGCATATTGCTGCGATAGCTGCTCATTCAGTTTTATTGCTTTTAACGTAAG